CTGTTGTTCCCAGTTGCTTCCACTTTGTTATAATGCCACTACCAGTTGACCGTGGATAATTTTGTAGCAAGGAAATTTCATGGACGGATTTATTGCACAAGTGGCAACCTATCACAGTACAACACTTGAATTCACTGAGCTCCTGAGAGCAACCCGTTCTTTCAGAAATGTTTATAAAAGCAGTCTGCATGCCTAGTTGCTTGATTATATACACCTGTGGCCATGGTGGTGATTAGAACACCTTAATCCAATGATCTGGAGGGGTGTCCCAAAACTTTTGGCAATGTAGTGTGATCCTTGTGCAAATAATAATTTCTTTTTGATGAATCAGGATTGCCTAAATGTGTTCCTAAGGCTGGCCATAGATGGCTTGGCTTTCTCTCATGCAGCCCTTGGAGTGAACAGGTGAAAATAATTTGATTCCCCAATCTGCAATATTAGTGTGGATGGAGAAATCTCCACTTATTATATGTTTTGTTTTTTTTAAGGAGCAATAGAAAAGTTGTGTTTAAAATATATGCCAGCCCGTCTGCTTGGTAGATTACAGTATATATGTAAATCTAAGACTGGCCATAGATGGGTAGAATTTTTAACAAAAGTTCTTAAAAAGGAATGTTTCAAGAAAGTTTGTTTTTCTAATCATTCGTGGGTCAAATACATTTTCTCAACTGCAGTGACAGAAAATTTGAAGGAGCATGATGGAAAATTTTACAAATGAATTTCTAACAATGTATGTGGTTTTCGCTCAGTAAAGTCTATTCATTCTAAAATCCAATGTTTAAAGCAAACAAAATCTTTTGAACACCATTCAAATATTCTGAGAATCTTCTCAGAATTTTTGTACATATTTTCCAAGACTTTTCTTAAGAATTTTCATTTGATATTTTATCCATATACAGTAAGTACCCTACTTGCAAACAAGTTCCGTTCTGGTAGCGCATTCATAAGTCCAGCTTGTTCGTAAGTTCAGCAAAGATCAGCACTTGCAGATAATGGCTGCGATCGCTGATTAATGTGTTCTGGTGGGGGATTCCCTGTGTCAGAACACAAAAGCACAGTTGTGGAGATTGCTGCACCAACATTACTTGTGTTGGTATGGCGATTTGTCAGTTTTTTTTTTCGCTCAGCCTGCTGGGTTGAACCAAAAAAAATGGATGGTGTGTACCCAGCTTTACAGAACTGGACATGCAAACACATTTTCACATCTTTGAAAGTTGAATTTTCGTATGTAGGGGACTTACTGTATAGCCAGATTTAGCGGCTCATGTACAAACAACGTACATCCACAATTAGGTTTTCTGTTTCAATATGTACATTATTATGTTACTGTACCAGTCAAAGGCTTTTCTGGTGTGGTCCAGGGCTATAGGTAACCTATAAAAAAAATATAGAAAGGCAGATGGTATGGGTGACATTGGTTTACCAGCATTGGCATCAAAAGGTTTCCTGGTGTGGTCTGGGACCATGTTCTGGTAACAAATAAAAAAAGTGACAGTTTTTTTTTGCACCACGATATATTTTCTCAGCAAGTTTATTATAAAATACTAGATAGGTACATTGTTGATTAATTTTGTTCTACATGCATTTAGCTGTAAATAAGAAAACAGTTCCCCATTGACCAGCCTTCTGCAACGGATTATATTTCACTTCATTGAATTGACTTTTTGGCTGCAATCATAATATTTTTCCTGAAAGTTGAACTCAAGCCAAATGCCTTTATACACACTTAAAATACATATACCATATGTACAAAGATACATATATAAACAGACCTCCCTGCAGTTAAAGTGTATGGAAACCCCACCAATGAACTTGAACCAGTGCCTGCTCATTTCCTGTCTACTGCCAGCCAGTACCTGCCTGTACCAGTCTGCTACTTACTGTTGCCCAGCTAGTCCTTTCCACCATCAGCTTCCTTCTGCTCCGGCTTGAACACAACCAGACTTTCTGCAACCAGACTCTGTGTCTTTACTGTCACCGCACCAGGCTGCACCTCTTCAAAGGATCACTAGGTGAAATTAAAGGAAAAAGCATGAATAAAAAACTCCTCATACAGCCACCATGTGTAATTGCCTGTAAACTGCAGCAATATTACATTTTTTCTTGGGTTTTAACCATTTCAATACCGTGCAATTTTACACCTTCCTGCCCAGGCCATTTTTCAGGTTTCAGCGCTCTCACACTTTGAATGACAATTGCGCGGTCATACAACACTGTACCCAAACTAAAATTTTATCATTTTCTTCACACAACTAGAGCTTTCTTTTGGTGGTATTTAATCACCACTGGGGTTTTTATTTTTTTGCTAAATTAACAAAAAAAGACCAAAAATTTTGAAAAAAACCCACATTTTTCTTTGTTTCTGTTATAAAAGTTTACAAATAAATAATTGTTCTTCATAAATTTAGGCCGAGATGTATTCTGCTACATGTCTTTGGTGAAAATAACCCAAATTAGGATGTATTTTTTAGTTTTTAGGAAAGTTATAGAGTTCACAAACTATGGTATATATCTGAAAATTGATCAATCCTGAAGTACTGACGGCCAATCTAATTTCTTGAGGTCCAAGAATGTCAGAATAGTACAGATATCCCCCAAATGACCCCTTTTTGCAGAGTAGACAGTCCGACGTACTTCATAAGAGGCATGGCGAGTTTTTTGAAGTTGTATTTTTTTGTCATAATTTTTCGGAAAATGAAAAAATGAAAAAAATTATTTTCACTATTCTTTTTTTTACATACTGTCACCAGTGCAGTACAGTGTCATCATATAACTGGCATGGCGGTGAACAGGGACACTGACTGGTGACAGTATGAAAAAAAAAAAATATATACATTTTTTTTTTTTATTATATTTAATTTTTTTTTATTACATTTTTTTTTATTTTTTTAAAGATTTTTTTTCATATTTTACTATGACCAAAATAGTACAATGTTACCATAGTAACATTGTACTACTTTGGGGAAGTGATCAGTATTTTTTTTTTTTTTTTTTTTGTTACACAATTTGCTTATAGCAAAGAATTACTTTGCTATAAGCAAGCATTTACCTGAATGAAATCGATTCATTCAGCTTTTTTTTTTTTTTTTTTTTTTTTTTTTGCTTAGCTGTGATTTGGTCACAGCTAATCACATGACATGTGCATGTGATTAGCTGTGACCATTCACAGCTAGGCACTAGTATACAATGGGTGGCATCATGAATGAAGCCATCCATTGTATACAACTGTCATGTGACCTGCTGTGATTGGTCACAGCAGGTCACATGGTACCAGCAACGGGAGCCGGTACTCGGATCTGTCATCGGCCGTGTCCGAAGTGCACGGCCGATGACAGATCGCACTGCTGCGCCGCTCTGCACTAGTGCAAACGGCGCATGTGCGGGAGCACGCCAAATGGCGTGTACCCGGAACGGAGAGACACTTCTGAAGCCGCCAAACGGCCATTGGCGGGGCGGCTAATGGTTAATATGCTGTATTTTAAGCAATACAGTCGGTCCACAACCTACCCTAGGCAAAAGATAACTTGTGTGATCGGAGATTGCTAGGATGCCAACACCCTAGAAATAGTCTATCCAATAAATTGTATCATGGGTGCATGAGACTTTCCCGACACCAAATATAATTCAAAACCAGAATATATATAAAAACTATTTATTCAATTTTTATTACAAAACATAAAACTATACACTGTAGGCTTAAATTATAGGAGAACAAAACCTCATATACTGTATAGTGTGTATAACTCTCATAGGTTGTAAGTGTAACAGTCTTGATATAGAAGGTGCCCGATGTGTTTCTTCGTCAGGTGAAAAAATACAAAAACTCATATGAAAGTTAGCCTACAGATGAAGGTTAAAAACTATAAGCCTAGTATTGTGGTGATGCAATCACATGGTGAAAGGGTCCCAAAAGGGGAAAAAAAGGACAACTGTAAATGCAGAGATCCAGAGGGCAGCTAGGAGATCTTAACCATGACTCAATATAGGTCAGTTCAAGAGCATTGCTGGCTGCAACACTCCAACACCAGGGAGGCTTTGGCTGTGAATAAGCCTCCATCGCTAGGTCCACATCTTTCCTGGTAGCCAGTCCTCATTAGTCTTAGAGGGCCACAGACCTTTATGTATTTGAGCTTACTGATACTCAGGTCTCTCTCTCTTTCTGCTATGAAATCCTGCTGCTGGATAAAATAGCTGACTGCTTACTTAAAACTAAAAAGGTACATGTGCTGCCTGTTTGTTTTGGAGGAACCCACTAGGGACCACCCTGTTAGTCAGGAACTGACCCAAGTTTAGTCTGCAGCTCACACACAGCAGAGATTTTGTTTTGTTATTCTATGGATTTTCTGTGCAAAGCCCTACTGCATTAAAACTTTGCTGCTTTGCTGTATTTAACTTTGACTATTCCTAGGTGTCCTTGTCTCATACACAGTTTACCACTGCTGATACTAGTTACAAATATATACCGTATTTTCCGGCGTATAAGGCGACTGGGTGTATAAAACGACTCCCTAATTTTTCAGGTAAAACATAGGTTTTGGACTATACTCGCCATATAAGACTACCCCCCTTCTGAGGCAACACCATTTAACCCCTAGCCTACAGGGCACTTATACCCACTTTCCCCCCAGGCCAATTTTCAGCTTTCAGCGCTGTCACACTTTGAATGACAATTGCGCGGTCATGCAACACTGTACCCATATGAAATAGGTGGCACTGATGAGGAGGAACTGGTAGGTGGCACTGATGGGCATTGACAGGCATCACTGATGGGCACTGAAAGGCAGCACTGATATATGGCACTGATAGGCAGCACTGACTGACACTGTTAGGTGGCACTGACTGGCACTGATAGGTGACACTGACTGGCACTGATAGGTGGCACTGATAGGCAGCACTGATGCGCACTGATAGGCGGCACTGACTGGCACTGATAGGCGGCACTGATGCACACTGATAGGTGGCACTGATTGGCACTGATAGGTGGCACTGATTGGCAGCACTGATAGGTGGCACTGATGGGCATTGACAGGCATCACTGATGGGCACTGAAAGGCAGCACTGATACATGGCACTGATAGGAGGCAATGATGTGCACTAATAGGTGGCACTGATTGGCAGCACTGATAGGTGGCACTGATTGGCATTGATAGGTGGCGCTGACTGGCACTGATGGGTGACACTGAAAGGCAGCTCAGATGGGCACTGATATGTGGCATTGATGTGCACTGGTAGGCACTGATATGTGGCATTGATGTGGCACTGATGGACACTGACAGCTGGCACTGCTGGGGCTACACTGATCATCAGGACACACTGATCATCAGTGCCCTGATGATCAGTGTACATGTCCCCTCCCCGGAAAGCCGATTACCGGCTCTCCTCTCCTCTTGAGCTGTCAGCGTGACAGCTCGAGAGCAGAGAAATGCCGATAACCGGCATTTCTCTGTTTACATGTGATCAGCTGTGATTGGACACCGCTGATCACATGACCGAGCCGACATCTTTGGCTCTTTCCGTGATCGGTGATCTGCTGTGTCCGAGGGACACAGCGCATCGCCGCGCATGCGTGGAGAATGGGAGGACATCATATGAGCCAATCACGGCAAGTGATGTATTCTATTAATGAATACAGAGCCTGCTCGGATTAGCTGCGTCAGAGAGGCGTGCTGATGATGTCACAACATCAGCCAATCCGAGCAGGCTCTGTATTCATTAATAGAATACATCACTTGCCGTGATTTGACTCAGCGCGGTACACTGTATGTAGCTGAAGCTACCGTACAGTATTACTGCACATCCAGCTGTTCTATACCCGGCGTATAAGACGACTCCCAATTGTTGGGGTATGTTTTTAAGTAAAAAAAGTCGTCTTATACGCCGGAAAATACGGTATATGTAGACACCAGCTTTAACATAAACAGTTCATCAATTTTTTTTAATTTTATTTTTTATTTTAGGGCAACATGAAATAATATAATGTTTACCTTCCCAGTAAAGAGTGTCAAAAACAATAAAAAAATACAGTGTTTCCATTGACCCAGTCTCACAAGGTAAATTAATACTGAAGACCAGGGGCGGACTGACAACTCATGGGGCCCCCGGGCAATAGGGGATCATGGGGCCCCTGTGTCCTTGCCCAAACTCAAAAAAGCCTATGAAAAAGGTACCAGGGGCATCTCATGGGGCCCCCTACTGACCCTGGGCCCTCGGGCAGTGCCCGAGTTTCCAAATGGTCAGTCCGCCCCTGCTGAAGACTCTTCCTGAGCATGCAGTCTGTAAATAGGGAATGTAGAGCAGAGTAATAACAGAACAGAACATTTCCTGGTCGAGCAAACACCTGATTTATGCATTATTTTCTTTACATATATAAGAAAACTGTCATAATCATTGCATTAATTGTTTGTACAAGTCAAAGGACAGGAAATCCAACTATAAGGTCCAGATTTTGTAGAATTTATTGTGACTGTTCATGCATTGAAGCCACCACTCCTCAACTTCCATTATGCCCTGTACCTTCAGTAACCATTCTTTTACTGATGGCACTTCCTGAGACTTCCAGGGAAGCAGAATAAGGCATTTTCCAGCATTGAGGAAGTGAGGCAGCAATGAGCATTTGTAAGACCCCACAGACTGTTGTGTGTTGTGGAAAAGCATGAGTAATGGGTCATCTGCTATCTTTAGTTGGGTCTCCTTAGTAAGTAGTTTATGAACGTCTACCCAGAAGGGCTGAAGGATGGGGCACTCCCACCAAAGATGTATAAAGTTGCCCTTCTGTCTGCAGCCTCTCCAACATAAGTTGGAAATAGCCGGAGATATGTGAGAATCTGTAAGGGACTCTATACCCCCTTGATAGGAATTTGTAACAGGATTCTTGAATTTTAGAGTTTACAGAAGAGGTGTGGGCCAGTACATGAGTTTTCTCTACACTGCTATCAGCTAATTCTTTCCTAATTCCTTCTACCATTCTATGATATACACTGCTAAAAAAAATTTAAGGAACACTTTGAAAACATATCAGATCTCAATGGGGAAAAATATCATGCTGGTTATCTATACTGATATGGACTGGGTAATGTGTTAGGAACGTAAGGATGCCCCATTGTTTGATGGAAATGAAAGTGATCAACCTACAGAGGACTGAATACAAAGACACCCCAAAAATCAAAGTGAAAAAATTATGCACCAGGAGGAACTCAGGACCCACTGCACAAGCGTAGGGTCTGACAATGTGTCCAAGGATTTCATCCCGATACCTAATGGCAGTCAAGCTGCCATTGTCTAGCTTGTAGAGGTCTGTGCATCCCTCCATGGATATGCCTCCCCAGACCATCACTGACCAAAAACTGTCATGCTGAATGATGTTACAGGCAGCATAATGTTCTCCACGGCTTCTCCAGACCCTTTCACGTCTGTCACATGTGCTCAGAGTGAACCTGCTCTCATCTGTGAAAAGCACAGGGCGCTAGTGTCGGACCTGCCAATTCTGGTGTTCAATGAAAAATGCTAATCAAGCTCTATGGTGCCAGGCAGTGAGCATAGGGCCCACTAGAGGACATTGGGGCCCTCAGGCCACCCTCATGAAGCCTGTTTCTGATTGTGTGGTCAGAGACATTCACACCAGTGGCCTGCTGCAGGTCATTTTGTAGGGCTCAGGCAGTGCTCATCCTGTTCCTCCTTGCACAAAGGAGCAGATGCCGGTCCTGCTGATGGGTTAAAGACCTTCTACGGCCCTGTCCAGCTCTCCTAGAATAACTGCCATCTCCTGGAATCTCCTCCATACTCTTGAGACTGTGCTGGGAGACACAGAAAACCTTCTGGCAATGGCACGTATTGATATGCCATCCTGGAGGAGTTGGACTGCCTGTGCAACCTCTGTAGGGTCCAGGTATCACCTCATGCTACCAGTAGTGACATTGACCCTAGCCAAATGCAAATGTAGTAAAAAACAGTAAGAAAAGATGAGTAAGGAAAAAAAATGTCAGTGGCCTCCACCTGTAAAACCCTTCCTGTTTTGGGGGTTGTCTCATTGTTGCCCATCTAGTACACCTGTTGTTAATTTCCTTAACACCAAAGCAGCTGAAACTGATTAACAACCCCTCTGCTTCTTAACTGACCTGATCAATATCCCAGGAGTTTAATTGACTTGATGCTATACTCTGATTAAAAAGTGTTCCTTTCATTTTTCTGAGCAGTGTAGTAAGGAGTCGTAGTAGAGAGCTTTTCAAGTAAGAGCTTATATAATCTGGAAAGTAAGTGAGCAGAGTAACCTCTGTCCAGACACAGAGCCTCAAACTAGAAAAGTGAACCTTGAGGACACAGGTTGCCCCCAAGGGTTTTAAAGAAGTGTTTGAGCTGTATATGTTTTCAGCTATCCTGAGGTATTGTGCCTCACTCGTGACAAAGGTCCAGTAGAGATTTCATTTTTTTGCCTTTCATAAATTGAAAACAGTGAACCTTGCAGGACTCTCCCCAAGATTTAAAGAAGGCCATGTCCTCCCCCAGGGTGAAGCATGGGTATCCTCCCAGTGGTGAGAGCAGTGAAGGTAGACTGGATAAGGAAAGTTTTCTGTTCAGACTATCCCAGGTAGTCACCATAGTGAGTGGGGAGACTGAGTCCAAAAGGCCCCTATACGCACAGAGAGGCATGTGGCCGAACTGCGTCCTGCCATGGTTTTTTTCAGGAAGTTATCATGGGTGTGCAGATTGCAGTTGACAATTTGTAATAAGGCAGTGGCGTGATAACATAAGGAGTGGTCTAGGAGAACTTAACTTTTGCACGACGCATGAGGTTGTAGGAAAGGAGTGGAGGATTCCCATGGCACACAAATTTAATAAACTCATGCCATGCCCTAAGAAGGTATATTCATGGCAATAATATGGGGGCCTTCTGGAAATAATACAGAAATTTGGGAATACCATCATATTTAGGATATTAATCCTGCCTAGCTAAGTGTCTTGGACTTCATCTCAAGTCTTCAATTCCTCCTGTATAGAGCACAGTAATGGGACAAAGTTAGTTACGTACAGGTCTTTAGGGTTCGCAGGTAGTTTAAAACCTAGGGACGTCAGGGGGGTGTCTTACCATTAGAAAGGAAATGAGTCTTCCAGTAACCTAAATATCTCTGTTTCTACAGGAGAGATATTTAGGGGTATAATATCTGAATTCCCAAGGTTGATCTTGAAATTTGAAAGGTTGTGGAAGTGTTCAACTTACGAAAGGTTGTCCAAGGGTTGCTAAGGAAAAAGAGAATATTGTCTGTGAAAAACGGTCAGTTTGTGTTCAGTGGATCCCACCTTCACCCCAGTGATGTCAGGGTTATGTCTAACTTAGAGTAAGAAGTCCTCCATGATAAGAGCAAACAGCAGCAGGGACAAGGGTCAGTCCTGCCTGGCCCCATTAGATCACAAAAAGCTGACATAGGACCTGATTGACTTTAACCTGAGCTGTGGGATTGGCATACAGTGCTGCAATCCAAGTCCTCATCTTGTCTCCCAAACCAAGCCTTTGGAGTATTCTTGATTTAAATAACCAGTCTATCTGGCCAAAAGCTTTTTTTCGGCATCGGATGAGAGAACAAGACAGCAAGTCTTCTTGACAGCAATCCCATGGCGTAGGAGGATCGCTCTATGGGAGTTGTCTCTACCTTCTCGGCCAGGTATAAACCCCACCTGATCTGCATGAACCAGGTCTCCTAGAAACTCTTTCAAGCTGTTCGCCAGGATTTTTGCAAGAAATTTTATATCCAGATTTAGTAAGGATATGGGATGATAATTTTGGCAATGTAATGAGTCTTTCCCCTCTGGTAATACTGTGATACTCTGGGGGAACACTTTCTGTCTTTATCAGGGAATTAAAGTAATCTGTCATATGGGACAAGAGAAGGTCTGCATAGTGCAGGAAGTACTGTTTAGAGAACCCAATCCGGACCTGGGCTCTTCCTGGAGGAATTCCTTAAAATTAGAAAAACAATTGAAACATTTTTCCAATGTATTTTTATTTTAATTGTCAGCTAAATATTCATCTTATCTAGTATATTACTTCTATTACAGATATGTTTATATGTATTATGCACAGCTATTGTATGTATATCTTAGATTGTAAGCTCCAAGGAGCAGGGCCTTCCTAACCCTCCTGTATTGAACTGTATTGTTATGGTATTGTCTCCCGGTATATTGTAAAGCGCTGAGCAAACTGTTGGCGCTATATAAATCATGTATAATAATATATTTGTATATATATACACATACACACAGTGAATCCAGAAAATATTCACAGCGCTTAACTTTTGCCACATTTTGTTATGTTACAGCCTTATTCCAAAATGGATTAAATTAATTTTTTTTCTCAACATTCTACAAACAATACCCCATAATGACAACATGAAAGTAGTTAGTTTTGAAATCTTTGCAATTTATTAAAAAAAAAAAAGAAAAAAGCCACATGTACATAAGTATTCACAGCCTTTTTTCAATAATTTGTTGAAGCACCTTTAGCACCAATTACAGCCTCAAGTCGTTTTGAGTATGATGCTACAAGTGTGGCATACCTATTTT